CGTTATTTACATTTTATAAATATTTACATCTAAATTAATTACCAACCCTTTGCCACTAGATCTCTTCTAGACATATGCATCATTAATTGTTATACTCTCAGTAAATGGATTATATTTGGTCAATCACCGCCATCCTTCTCTGTAACAAGTTCTAACCCACTTGATGATAATCAACATGTAGAGAGTTCCTTCTTGACTCAATCAAATTGCATACACAATAAATTAGCAATTACTTCTCCATTGCTGAAGGAGGAGTTTAGTTTATAGTCACAATATCACCATGCCAAGACATCATCTTTCGGGTATGATCAACAGTTGTTTTTTATTTTTTTTAATGAGTAGAAAGTTATCACCAAAGTGCAGAACAAAAGCAAACTGACCCCACAGTGGGGATTTATAAGGTGCCAGAGACACGGGTGTTACGTTTATAAGGCTCTCGCCCTTATCTGAGACGATTAGATCCCATCATACATATTTTTTATATTATAATAAGTACTTATATTCCTATTTTATCAATTACTGAATAAGTGATCATCATTAATCACAATTTTGCTCCAGCAGATATTTTCTCTTTGTTTCACAACTGCTTGAAAAGCTTCTTGCTCATCATATTCATATTCAGACATTAATAACAGTTTACTTTATATTTCTGAATGGTGCCATGTTTAAGTTACTGAAAGGATGTTCGTATTCTAGATATTCTTCTCTAAACGTTCTCCATATATCACGTCTTTAGCTTTCTTCGGTGTATATATATATAAATGATATATATATACGCTTTATTCAGTGTATATACATATCCCTTATAAATCAGTTCGTCAGTTCTTATTTTCCTTTTGTTCCAACATAACCAGCTAGGAACTGTAGATAAATGTGAAACCAGGAAATGTCTTTTGTATGACCATATTTTATCTTCATTACCTACATTTACATCATATTTCTTATTTTGAAAGTCATCATAGATATTACTTTCTTTAGAACTGTTACCTCTCCCTTCTCAGATTTATTTTCACTGGAAGCATGACCTTCATCAGATATATGTCAAATATCCACCTTGCCAAACATATCTATTTCATTTTTTTTTACCACGAGTGTCAGTCATCTTCAATGAATGTTTCTTTCATTCTATATATGATTTTTTCGTGCCTTTTTTAATAAAATGTTTAGGTAAGATAATCCATACAATACAATTTTGCATGATAATAAGATATTCAATTGCTAAATCCAATTAATCATCAGTGACTAAACAGAGAGATACAAGTCACTTTTATACTCATGACGTTAGTAAACATGAGTAGTTCAATTACTTACGATTAGTAGAACTACACTCAACATATTCAGGTGTCATGATCTGCTCACGACTATTATTATTAGTTATTTACAAAATACTATAAAGTATGATTATTTATCTAAGAGCAACTCCTAAGTATTATGGGATATACGTCTCACTAACAAAACGTATAGCAACTACAAATTAACCAAAGCTAAATAATATACTATTCAAAATTGTTGACTAACAGGAAAACCAGAAAATAACTAATAAATAAGAAACAAAGATGATATCATTCAATACAACTGCATCTAATAGAATGCCACCATATTGGCAAATGTGATGTTATAATTCAACAGGGCGTGATGTCTGAGGTCAAAGGTCAGATCTATAGTGAAGGTCAAAAAGCAAAGATTTGCATGTACAGTAAATGGCCATACTCCAAGTGGGAGTATCATATCACCTTCGAGTTTTCGGCAAATTGTAAACTATGTGTTTAGTCTCTAAGAGATACTACTAAAATGTATTGAAAATTAAGTCATGTTATTAAATAACAATTATAATGACATAACAATGTATGGTACCTTCTCATTATATATTATAAAAACAAGAGTAATTAAATTTATTTGTAGTTTGCATTTATACTTTGTGTATTCTCCAAATATCATAAATATAAGTCTAGTATCCAATATATTATTACATTTTTAGAATAATTCATGTATATAATTATGACACGGAATTTACGTAAAATCGAAAGTTTTTTATTGTGTTTTTTTTTTCAGAATAACTGATATTGAATTAACTTAAATAAGAAACATTACTTGGTCGAATATTGTCTGATATCACTGCATATTTATATAGATCTAATATTTCTTTTCTAAGTATTTATTTCTCTTCGGATTAGTTAATGTTTTCTTCCTAGACAAACATCTTTCAACTTGATATGGATGGTAAAATAACAGCTCTTTATTAGGTTGAAAACAGTGAATATTGGTGCTATTCTTAGATACACTAGTTTCCCTTGAAGTAAATGGGTCTACTAAAACAGGAAATCCGACAGATACTAGATAATGGAGTAAAGATTTATCTTTCCCGACTTTGACTGAGTCTTACACAAAGAGTCTGATCACAGATTTGTACAATTCATACTCGTTTATTCATCAAATACAAATCAAAATTAGAGTTGCATTGAGTCAATTGTTTGTAGTTTACATATTTTAACTCGAAAGAGAGATAAATTCTAAGTCCTCAGAAGTTAAGGGCTAAATTTTCACTATGATCAAAGCTATTCAAGGTTAAAGTTAATTCCAAGTTGAAAGACAATAAAGCTTATTCTTACGATTTATTAAGTTGATGAAAATCTCTAGAACTACAGAAAACTCTGTATATTCATATCTCAGCTAAGTCTGGGTTTCAAACACAAAATACCACAAACCTTAAGAGCTGCAAAACCTCTCTAAAACAAAGAAAAACATAGCATTATATAAGAACTATTTCTCTCTCTCCAAGTGTATGTGGTATCCATGTGACTGAAGGCCGCTCTCAGGTAAACAAGGGGTGTTAATTACCCATAGTGTCATTTTGATTAGCACAAAAAGTAATTACTGTCGTTATTTATAACGTATCTCATACTAAAATAATGATTTCTTTGGTGACTCAGCTAGTCCCATGAGTGTGACCAAAGGCGAGAAAAACTTAGTTGCTCTCACTTGACCGATGTGCTAAATTAAAAATAACAGAAAGCACTCTGAAAATGTAGAACATTTTGCATATTAACGGAGGGTGTAGAAACAATAATACCTTTACATACCACAATATGTTCATTAATAGAATAAATTAATATTCCGTTTTACAATATTTGTACTTTATTATAATCTCCCTTAATATAGTAATAGACCACTTTCACCACAAAAATAGCCTAGCTTCAGTGTGGCTTGTACTATACAAGATGCTGGAAGGTGATTCTAACCTGTTTATTGATGAGTATGGTCTCTAAGTCAGAAGAGGATTAGGAAGACAGATGTTATATTCACATTCACCTTGAAGATGTTCAATTAGATGGAGGTTTGTTGTTTTTGTTAGCCAAGAGTGGCTGTTGAAGCTCATCAAATTAATATTGGACAGCATTATCATTGTGAATTACTTTATTATTATTTTGGAAGGTTGGATACGATCAGCAACAATTTGGAATATAATCTGGATATCACTTACTCTTTCGAAATAATCAAAATACATGGCACATTCTACGCGAATACTCACTACATCAAATTATAATTGAAGATAAAATAATATTTTGTCATATATGTGAAACATAGAAGACTATTGCTCTCACACAAGGATTCACCAAGTAATCAGAAGAAAAAAACACTTGTGGCTTAAACTGTCCATGATTGACACTGTAAGGTTTAATATAGAAAAATAGATTCAAGTGAGAGATGTCTTTGGCCAGCTTCCAAAAGTAATGGTTTCTTATAACAACATTGTTCCTACGCAAGCACGACATATCACGCCCGTGAAAGTCAAAACGTTTATTGCTCTTATCAATTTTCTTGCAGACTTGCAAAAACATGACTACTTCACATCAGATTATCAATCTGTTTTTCTCGTATATGTAAATGAGTGTTCTACAAAATTATGAAAGGGTACACGAGGTGGTTTGTCAGAGCACACTTTAAAATTCACTCTACTCTAACGTTAATATTAATATATATATTTTTGAACATATGTGTTACTAAGCATCTAATAGATTGTTTTAAGTTTCAAAAAAATAACTATGGTTTTAAAGTTTAAACATTTTGTAAAGTGTCTATATTTCGCACAATTCAAATGAGGACTATGCTATGTACAATGTTTCATATATATTTAATACATTGTGCAATTAAGACAATAAAAAATGTAAATAATAGTTTAAGACCAATTAACAAAATGTTTGTTTCTTAAGATAAATTGTTTCAATGCACGTATTTATCATACATGGTATCAATCTTACTTTATTGCCTGTGCCTAATTACCTTTTCTTGTATATTTGAATAAATAGATGGTAACAAACGTTTTCTATCCTGATTTGCCCAGACAAAATGTACATAGTTTATAAGCAGAGAGAGTATATACTAATTAGATCGACTCTTTCGGTTACTTTGTAGCAATATAGATTAGAATATACATATGTGGCTTTTTTGTTATTGTTGTTCTTTTTATGTACCCTGGTTAATCAAAGCCAAGCTCGAGGGTTTATAACTTTACAAATAGGGGCTCATTACCCACGTTGAGCATAAGTACACATAGCCCATTATGCAGCTTCGCGCTTTCAAACAAACATATTTTTCTTTTTGTATAAAATAATTAAAATTGGGCTTTGATTTTCTTACAAAAATTAGCATTTAGATTAAAGATTTCAGACGCTCATATACTATAACAGGTGAGTCTAAATAGATTATTATAATATATATATATATATATATATATATATATATATATTCAATGTTAGATCACTTGTAATCTAATCTATTCATTGAATAGCTTATAAACATAAATCTATTTTAGATGAAATTATATAAGGTTTGACTCAATATTAGAGTATTTAGGTAGATACAATTTTAATGTCTATATATTTTTTGTTGAGTATTCCTTTATTTTCTTCTACTCAACCTTTGTTTGATAAATGGTACTTGGTGTTCCTAAAATGTAACTACTTAAAACAAATGTCAATAAACTTTTCATTACTTTATAGGCCATCTTGTTGTTGAAAGTGTGACAGGAGGACTCGCTGAATTGCCTTGTAACTTCTCTTCATTAAATCAGGAAAAAGTATCAATTATATTATGGTATAAAGATAACGTTACAAAACCGATTTATATCTTAGACGCAAGAAACGGCATCACAAATATGCCTAAGCACATCCCAGGTGGAACATTAAGCAACAGGTCCTATTATAATGTCTCTGTCTACCCGTCCATCCTTCAAATATGGGAGATCAAAGAAGAAGATGTAGGAAGGTATAAGTGTAGAGTTGATTACAAGCATGAACCAACAGAGTATTTCTTCGCTTTTCTCCAAGTATTTGGTAAGTTTTAAGAAAAACTTATTGCAAGGACACTTTTTATTTATATAGAATTATTAAAGTTTCAAGCTCATACTTGTTTTAATGTTATCGTTATCTTAACTTTCTTGGAGACAAAATATAAAGGTTAGATATGAATACCATACGTGATAGCGATTAAAACCTAGAATAATTATGTAATAGTGTTTCACTCAAAAATGTATTATTATAGAAGTTTTTCCATTAACTCGTTGTTGGAAACAACATCAAGTGCTTAATATGTTCTCTGACCCTGACAATTGCTCCAACTAACCTAGGTAGTATCAAATTGCTAATTACATTCGTCAGGTTTTGATATCTCTTGTACTTATTGGTGCGTCAGCGTTACGTCTATCGTACATATTGGTGCGTCAGCATTATGTCTCTCGCACTTATTGGTGCGTCAGCATTTCTTATACCTGTATTAAACGTTCTTTAAGTCTTTACTTGTCTCTTGGTTTATCATTCTATAGACTGTATACCAGAAAATTGATACGCTTGGCTTTGTGTGCAGCCTCATACTGAAATTAATCTGGAATTTATATATATATATATATATATTCAGTAAAGTCTTGATGTTCATACCTTACTCATTCTAAATCCTAGGTTTTGTTTTGAATTTTAATAATAATTTTTCCTTGTTATTGTGGGCCATGAAATGGAAATGTGCGTATGCCATATATTGAATTTTTCAATAAGCATATTTTATTACAACAAATTCATCTCTAACATCATTCTTTTACAAAACTATAATGATACTTCTCCTAAGTAAGGAAACACATGGCTACGTACCTAACAGATTTAGCTCCTATATTTTTTCAAAATAAAAGTAAATCTAAGGAAATAAGACAAAAAAAAACATAAAAATATGAGAAGAATCCTCGCATAAAATATTGAAACAAATTATAACAGTTTGTTTGTTTGTTTAATTTCGCACAAAATTACACGAGGGCTATCTGTGCTAGCCGTCCCTAATTTAGCAGTGTAAGACTAGGTCGAAAGCAGCTAGTCATCACCACCCACCGCCAACTCTTGGGCTACTCCTTTACCAACGAATAGTGGGATTGACCGTCACATTATAACGCTCCCATGGCTGAAAGAGCGGGCATGTTTAGTGGGACGGGATTTTAAACCCTCGACCCGTAGATTAAAAGTCGAGCACTCTAACCACCTCGCCATGCCGGGCCACATACCAGGAGTGTCCTAGTGATTAGTGTGCGAGGCTGCAGGTCAAAAATTTTAAGGTCTAGCATCTCGATGCCTCTAAATGCACTTCAGAATTTCACTTTTTGTGACTTAATATAGTGAAAGCTAATCCCATTATTCGGTTCAAATTCAGACAAAGCCAGGCCAAATTATTACAGATAAATATTGAGAATAGAACTTTCTCCAAACGAAATCCCCAATTTCCTAAACAAACTTGCACACGTTACGTTTCCTTAAAACTATAACACCCTTTTAACCTTAATACAAGTAATAAAAGAATGAAACAATAATGATGATCTAGGGATAGAAATGACAAAAAGTACAGAAACAAGGTAGGGATAAATACACGAAACCATACAAAAATCCCTACATAAGAAGCCAAATATTTTCCAAGAATAACTTTTACCTACAACTAAATGTTAAATTTCTGTCACTTGCATGAATTCAGGTTTGAATAAAAGCATTTAAACTGAATAATATTATAAAGTATTACAACGGCTAATTCTCATTAGCTTGTAACATTCACTCAGTGGCTACTTATGTAGGAATTTTTGAATGGTTTTGTGTATTCATCCATACCCTGTTTCTGTACATTTTGGCAATGCCATCCCTACATCATCCTTACATTTTTTTTTCAAATTTTTTATTACTTGTTTCCCTTCTTTTTTTTTCTAATAAATGGCAGTCTGTATGGAAGCAGCAGTCTTAGCCTGGCGTCTGGCGTGATGAGTTGTCTTGATGGACAACATGTGTTGAAGTAAGTGAAATACTATATTGCTTCTTACTCCCCAAGTTAAAATGCAACATTCTGATGTGTAAATTATTGCAACAACTTCAAGCATTGGCCTTTCTGATGCCAGAATCAGAATAACCAGCACAACATTTGGCTGTCTTGTGATATAACATTGCATTTTTATTTACATAATTCCTTGGTAAACCTTTATATTACATCATGCCAAATATAAATGCTTTCACTTGATGACCCTTCATCTCTATTTAATACTTCTTTTGGTTTTGTTCTTTAATTCTATTATTTCTAGTGATTCTCTGATATTTAAAACTGTAATATTGCGAGTTTGAGCTAAATTGTAGTTTTTTTCTTATAAGATTGTGTGTTGTGTTGTTTTTACGTGCTCTGCTATAGCCGAGTTTTCTATTTTATTATTTCTTAGTAACCTTTATTTCCTGTTGTTCTTGTAGCTAAATGAAGCAGTATAAATTTACCAACCAAAGTAGGGATTGAAAATCGTTTTAAAATCCATCCAACTAGTATCGCTTTACTTGTTTGGGTACTTTTTATTGTAGCAATGTTTTGTTTTGGATATTTCTTATAGCAATTCTACGCATAACCAACGATCCCTACTTTCCCTTAAAATTATATATTTTTTCCTATTTATTTGTTCAGTTTTATATGTTTATGGAATGGACACAACATTTATAAATTTTCAGCATATTTATATCCCTGATAGCTATAGCTTTACAAAAATTCAAACCACGATCACAAATTTATAAAATTTAATTCTTACGTTGGTCTACAGATAAGTGTATAAAGCTGCCAAAGTAAGGATTAAATTTTATACATCTCTGACTGTGGTTTTAATTCGTGTTTCATTACATTTTTAGGAGGATCCCTACTTCATTTTAAAAACTTATAATTTTGTAATACTCTTGTTCGTTCACTTTTTTATGTCAGACCTGTATAAATTATATACTTTACCTTTAGAAACTGTTGCGTGTCTATCTATCGATATGTAGCACCCGCCATCCGTTGGGTTGAAAATATGTTTAAGTACGTGCATGATATATTTACCATTTATATTATACCTGTATATACATGGATTTTTATCGGAATATCTAAAGCAGATACCCACTGATCAGTCAAGAAAGCTGAAGAAAGCTTGTAGCGATAGTCTGAGCTGTCTAGGCGCTAGCCCCGCTAACGTGATCAGGTAGGTAGATTGTAGACGAAAAAGTTGCTGTTTTAGAAATTTTTGAACTGTTATACCAGAAATGTTAGCGACCTTTTTAGCGTATTATTAGTATATATGCGCACAAGATATCGTAACCAATACTTTGAATGGTCGGATTTTTTGCTTATGATTTGGATAGGATGATTTATCAGCGCGTGAATTATTTGGAATCCTTGGAGATCCATAATATTTAGTACTACCGTACTTAAAATAGCGGTATGTCTGCGGATTTATACTGCTAGAAGCTGGGTTTCGTTATTCGTGGGGGGAAGAGCAGAGATAGCCCTTTATGTAGCCTTGTGCTTAATAACAAACAACAACAACTGTACTTAAAATATTTTCAAATTTATATTGGGAGGAGTTATTTCAATGTTTAATTAACTTTATTCTACCGCTTTTCATGAATTAATAGATAAAAAGAATATTTTCATTTTAAGTAAATTAAATATACACTTGAAATCAAATTCAGAAGATTTACTTGTAATCACTAACATCAGTTTTACGTCTATAAGGAATTTCTTGTATAAAATAATTATGTAAAGCTTATTAATTAATATTTTTGGTTTTTACTTTACAATGAATAAATATAAAACATTTTAATCATCATTAAACAAGTTATGTTTATGTAAAATATTCTTGTTTTACAATGCTTGAACAAAAGTCTTACTGTTTTAATTTACTTCAATGACTTAGTATAATGTGCTTTTTTCTTCCCATGTTAAACATATAATAATAAGGTAGTGAGTTGTACTATGCATAACTTGACACCAACGAGTGGAAAATTCTAGCTTTTTTATCAAACATTTTACTGTATTCCCATTGCCAGTCAATACTTAATTCAGTTGATCTTCAAGGATTTAAATCGTCAGAGGCTGAGTAAAGCTTTGTTGCTAGCGTGTCAGATTGTAGATCTGAGATTCCGTGGGTCGTATTTTTGGGATAGGTATGTGTTATAAAAGTGGCAGTCAACTTCCACTATTCTATTTAAGTAGCCCACGAGCTGACGATTGGTGGTGTTGACTAGCTGCTTTCTCTAGTCTATCACTTAATAATTACGCAGACAGCCCTCGATTAGTTTTGTGCGAAAGTTAAACAATAGCTATTCATCACATCAACGATTACTTTTACAGCAGAAAATTTTTTTCGAGATATTTACAAACTTTAAAACTAATCAAGTTCATTTGACTTAGGGAATACTGATAAAATATCTCTATTCCCTGTAATACAGTTGGTTATTTGGGAGATCATTATAGGTTACATCACTATAAATAACAGTTACATGTGGAAAGGTCAATGTGTTTTGCATCAGCTTTATCCGGGACAACGGGTGGTCTGTATTTCGTGAAATAAACTAACACAAAAGAGAGAGATGTGGCATTGTTATCTCTCACCAGAAGCTGATAGAAAAAGTTTTTGTACTTAGAGAATTCGACGTATTTTGACAGTTATCGTATCCTATGTATTCATGTTTCCTTCAAAACTCCACCGAAGATCCTCTTGTTATCTTAGCTAATAATGCATCTTTGTGAGACGTTAAAGTAAAAAAAAAATAGCAAGCAATGTATATATAAAAATGGAAATTTATGTCGATCTAAAAGTCACAGCAAATTACGACAGAACAGTTAAATGCTATTAAATAGCGCCGGTTAAAAACTCTAGGCGTACATTAATATATATTACGTTTGTTGGTGGTGGTTTTTCCCAAACAAATGTAAACTTCCAGCAAGCTTAACGTATATGATTTTATCTCTCAGGAATTTCCTACGTGGTTATCCTGTTAACTTCTAATCACATTTTTATGTTGTTAAA